TGCTGAAGAAAAAGAGTGGCTTGGAGAGCTTTCAAGAGCATCGAAGATGTAGTGAAGAGAACAAAGAACATCCGACTCCGTGCCCATCTTTTCGACTGAGTGGCACTTCCTGCCCTAACGTGTGCGGCAGAAACCTGGTCGCTGCGTAAGCAGGATGAAAGGTCACTCAGCGTTATCGAAGGCGCAGTCGAAAGGACGTTGCTAGGAGTATCCCGTTCCAAACAAGTAAGGGATAGAATCCGAAGCTCCGAACTGCGTCAATGATCAAATTTCAAAGATGCCGTTCTGTGCGCCAAACTATCGAAGATAAAGTGGGCCGGACACGTAGTGCGTATGAATGACAACCGATGGACAAGAGCCGTTAGTGACTGGATTCCTCGCGATGTCAAACGCACTGCAGGAAGATCATCGTTCCGATGGTCAGAGTTCTTCACAAATAGCCTTGAAGAAAGATATGATACCCGACGAGTCTCTAGAGCAAGCAGAACTCACTGGGCTACTTTTGCACGCGGCATTGGAAAATGGAAGGTTTACTGGTGCCCGTTTGAGTCACTCGACGACCAATGGGACTGCAGATGATACAGGTGATAGAGGTTATATATATATATATACCTATATATATACGTATATATATATATATATATATATACGTATATAAAGGATGAAATGGGGAAGTTTTCGGCATTGAGCAATTCTTGAAGGCTTGCATTCGTCTTCACTAAACATTGTTAGAGGTGATTAAAAGCATATCTGACAAACACAACGATTTGTGGTGGTCTACCGCGTTGGCAGCTCAGTGCTGCTATCCTCCCAGAGTGATCCCGTACCATTTTCCTCACCGCGGTGAGCAGGAAAGCTTGGTGAGCCTGAGCCGCCTCTGAGCACTGTGCTACATGCGCCCCCATTTGGAACATAATATGAGCAAAATCATGCTTTATTATTTTAATATATGGACCATGGAATATCTGCAATCCGAAAATAACTGGATGATCCTAAGGAATTTAAGCGACTATGTGTTCTCATCGAGAGCATATGTAATGTTCACTGGTCAATATTTGCCATATCACCATCACAGGGCTGGATCCCATGTGTATTCTTGGGGGCCTCTAAGCACTCCGCTGCATGTACTCCTATATAATATATATACATATATATGTATATATATATGTATATATATAATTTTTGTGTACAAATATAAACTTTTTCATTGTTTTAATGAACAGCGTGGTAAATTTAAAGTGATCTTTTTTGAAATATTCAATAATGAAATTTGTTGTTCTTATGTTGTCGAATTAAACTATTACGTTATCCAAAAATGCCATTGCTAGGGAAATCTAATAAAAAAGAAAATATGTGCATGTCTTCTTTTGAAGGAAGCTTTGCAATAGTTGGATTTTCGCACATCTCAGAGAATTGCTGTCTAGATTGTGACGATGTTTTCAAATCTTGTTTGTTTGGCAATAAATAACTATTGTCCAATGCTTCTTCTAATGCTAACTATTGTTCAATGCTTCTGGGAAGCTTCCACTGATCCACAACACCTGACACCGCTCTACTACGGTCATCTCTAGGACAGCTTTTAGGGAGAAACGATATGACAGGTATTCGACCACATTCATAAAAAAGACCAAATATCCTCGAATATTAGTCGAACGCATACGCAAATCCGACGAGCTTTTGTGTATCATGGTTAGGAGAAAACGGATCAAGTGCAAGTGCTCAGATCCACGCAGTACAAGTGAAGACACGATATTTTAAACAAGTGTAAATCGTTACTGTAACCATAAGAGTTATTCGGAATAAAAAATATTTCTAAATTACGAACCTCTGGTATTCCGACACACCTTGAAAAACAGCATAGTAATCAGCACATTCAACAAATAAGTGAAAATTTGGAGCAGAACCATTAACATAATTCATTTATTCATTTTTCCGGTTACATGTTAAATTTTTCAACAATGTACTTTATAAACTAATCAATTCAACACCTATTTTCAGTTGGTATCACGGCGTCCTCTAACTTCTCAAATACGCGCTCTCTTTCTATAGCGTCGTAGAAATCAGTGATTTCGAACAACTTCCTCAGGTCTCCTTCAATAAAAAAAAACTATTTAAGAAGCCAATTCTTTCTCGAATTTTCGGAAATACTGGGTGATTTTTTGCTAAATTACCAATGAATCATAAATGCAATAATTATTAAAGGATGAAAGATTTTTTCATGTTCACCTCTTTGTACAACAAGGTAAGTCTGGACATTTGCTGCGATAAGATCCATGACAGTCTGTAATAATGCAGCAAACTACATAATATCAATCGAAAGCGAAGGTTACGACAATGTTACTTATAGAAAATGGAATTTATGATGAAAACTATACCGTTTTCAATGTCGCTAGGCCTAAATAGTCGACATAGGGAAATCCACTGCAATCAATCACAAGGCGACAACGATCCTCCCGTGCAGTTTCCATATGAGCGGCGCGAGCCTTCTAAAAGAAGAATCGTTTCGACGGTATTAAAGGAGAACAGAATCGATAGGTGTTCGTAGATGAAAAAAAAATTATAAACATAAACTTGATGGAGATTGTCCTCTGATTAAACACAGTCTCGTTCACATAGAAGCAATCGACTAGCATCACTTCATGTTCGTTTTTTATTGAAACCGTACTGCTTATTTCTTCATGAATAATTGATTAGTCACAAATTCAGTCATCCAGAACTAAATTTCGAAGTGCTCCTCGTTACCAGTAAGCTCAGAGAAAAAACTCCAGTGTTTATCGTTTTCTAAAAGTATATGTATTTTACTAGGGCTCTTTTCTAACGCATCTTGTTGCCAGCATACTCGTTCATAAAATCATGCAATCAGCACGCCATTTTACTTGTTCTTCTTCTTTCCAAGGTACTGCCGTACTCTTCTATTAAGTCGCCCTACTCTTGTATGAAAAGCTAAAAACCTATAACAAAAACGGCTGAATAGTGGATTCGTAATTGATAAGCCGAGGATAACGGTGGTGGCGCTAACTTTTCTTCAAAGATTTGGGTAAACCGGTCGTTCACTTTCTCGCAGGTTTTCGTCACTCCCAAGAATGTTCCAGTGGAATAATGAATCGAGTTAATGATGATCGAAGGTGTATGATTTCACGAATCTTCTTCATTTGATAAATTTGATATATGCTATAGCACAGAGGCCTTCAAAATGGATAGCAATTTATACGCTCATCAAAAGTAAAGATGAATGACTGTGAACATTGACTCGGATCATCGGCTTTAAGAAAGAGAAAACGTCAAAACGTTAGCCGAATAGATATTTGGTAACAACCTCGTGGTTTCTCGTGGTTTCTTTTACATTACGGAGGAATGAGTGCTTTTAAGGAGACATTCAATGTTGTGAATTCATCAAAACAAACAGTACTCATGATTATACGGGATGTATTTCCTTGATTCAGCATGAATGACTTCTGTCGTAAAGCGAGATTTGATCACACCTAACTGGTTCCCATACCGGTTGTTTCTCACTCCGCGACATCGCAGAGCGGACCTCACAGTACGCTGCGTATTAATACTGGTTTTTGTTGTTTGGTATCAACTTTTGCCTTCAGTTCTGAAATAACTGCTCAAAGAGTTTCCCATTGATCGCCACAGAAAACTGTAGGTTGTGTAGGTCAAAGGCTCATATACCACTTTGACTCTCGCTTTTTTTCCCGCACTTTCTGTAGCTCCAGCAGGAATGAAGGCAACCTTGAGTTTATCAGCACTATTAATACTAAATGGCGCTTGTGGCGCAGTGGTTGGAGGGGCCACTGCGACACACACGTGGAATCGATGCGCGCACCCATGGCCCATCAAGCCTTCCATTCCTCCGGGGCCGGCAAATTGGTACCAGACTTGTCTAGGAGGATGGCAGCACTGTCTCGATACTGCCACGACCGACTTTCTATTAACCTCGGCATTGATCAAGTGATTTTCTTCGTATTTTTGTTGAGCAAACGCGAGGTGTTATTATTCTTCGTTCACGATTAAGCTGACGTTTCGGCGGATTTCGCCTTCTTCAGAGCCGCTTTCTATGATGGTCTATGGTTTCCACTAAGTATGTCACGTAGAGACCAACCGCACAGAAATCACGTGGAAGTATAATGTGAAGAAGGCGAAATCCGCCGAAACGTCAGCTTAATCGTGAGCAAAGAATAATAACACCTCGCGTTTGCTCAAAAAAAATACGAAGAAAATCACTGTCTCGATACATCGGTAGGCCACCGGGACTCATTGTAAAGGCGAGATATGCATTCAAGTACCACCAATGGTACTTAATGAGGCTGAATGCATGGCTATCCCTCAGAGATTGATCAACGCCGAGAGCTTTACCCTTTATCCTTATTAATATCAAATCGCAATTTCAAAACCAATACCGTGCTATAAGCGAAATACCGATGGCCGCAGATATGACAAGGAGGTTAACCTCATTCTTTCTAGTTGAATTTTGCTCAAATTATTTCAAAAACCACTCACAACGTGCTAACAAATATTCCTGGAAGGCAGGACTACAGATGTCGCTGAACTCTGTTACTAGGAAAGTTATTTATTAAAAATAAGGAGTACAGCGTTTGTGGGAAAAATACTTCAACACATGACTGCCTTTTCTTTTCGCAAAAAATCTTTGTGGCGTCAGCACAATTTAAATTTTAGCAGTAAATTGCCGCTCAGGTAGGGTTTTCTTTGATCGTACTATCGATATAAGAGCTCCAGGACCTTCGTTAATGGTCAAATGATCAGGGCACCTACTAGTCTCGTGGAGACGAAAGGAAATCCATAGGACGCGACTCCACTCAACAGTGCGGTTCGACATCCAGAAACACCTCTTAAACTCAATCATGATGATGTAGTGCACCATGGCAGGAACCTTGTCAGACGTCCAAAATTGCGAAGTAACGTCAGTAGTCGATAAATGTCCCAAAAAGGGAAAAACGACGGTGTTAATAGTAACAGTAGCTACTAATGGCTGACAAAGGTAAGTTCAATAGATTCATAAATTATAATACTATGATTATGGCACTTTTTGATCCCAATGTTTGATTGATTTTTAGGCCGCTAAAGAAGTTCGTCTCGGGAGGCCAGCAAAAATGATGAAGAATGAGGAAAGACTTTTGCAGATTTAATGTGGTATGCCGAACTTGCTTCTGATCTATCATTCGTTTTGATTTTGCATGCCTCTCATTTGCACAGCCAAAGTAGATTACATGAAGGAGAAAAATGAAATATATTGGTGAACTGTTTGCGTTATTTGCCAACAGTCAAATTAACCCTCTACACTGCCTACAGCGTTGGGAATTGTGAGGATTACAACGCGTCATACGGTTTGGGGTGTTTGTGGCGCAGTGGTCGGAGCCGCCCTGCAACACACACGTGGAGTCGATCCCTGCTCCCATGGCTCACCAAGCATTCCATCTTTCCGGGCTCGGCAAATTGGTGCTAGATTTGTCTGGTAGGATAGCAGCACTGACTCAATACATTGGTAGGCCACTGCAAGTCATTGTAAACGCCAGATATTCATTCAATCACCTCCAAACGATGCTTAATGAAGTCGATTGCATGGCGCATCCCTCAAGGATTGATCAATGCCGATTATTTTATCCATATATATATATATATATATATATATATATATAATGAATAGAATGAATGGTTCCAATCGTGCATGGAAAACGTAATGATCACAGATGCAGTGCAATAGTTGATCACCGCGTTGACCTCGCCTTGTAGCAATCAAGTCTACAATCCCTATGGGAACGGCATAATGAAGAACTACTGGGTTCTGCACCATATTTGTTCACGAGTCACGTGAAAAAGTTGCCCTAGTGAATAGCTCTAATGCACAATAGGGACAACTGGATACTTTGAAAATTCCGGAGGAGGATGCTGAGATATGAGCAAAGCTCAGAACCTCAGCTAGGCCTCGAACTCGTACTCATTACTCATACCGGGGGCTCACGCGCTATCTACGACACCAATCGACGCCCCTGCCTTGCCATTCCACCAGCCATGTTTTTGCTCTATCGGTGCTAAAGTAGTCATACGTCAACATCCTTTCCCCTACTTGTTTTCGTTTTTTGGGATATCCCGTAATATCCTAAACATCACTTCAAGTATGGATTTTTCACTATTTTTAGCTAACATTCTAAATTTTATTAATTTTATTTCAATTTAGGGTGCCGAAATTAGTGTTGTGACATAGCGGTGAGGATGGATTTTGGACAACAACAGACGACAATGAGTAAGGATGACAACGATGAATTTCCGAGTAACTTCCCAATGTGTCAGAAATGTCAAAAAGAGATTACGATTATCTTTTTTAGATCGTTGGACAGAATCAGTCATTGCAACTTCCTGGAACCTGGGGAAATAATTCGAGTAGAAGAAGTAGACAAAATAAATTAAGAAACGCAAGTCTGCAACCGATCAATCGAATACGGCTGATTCTGATGCATGAGAACGTTCGCGCTTCCAAAAATATTGGTCTAGAAACCAAAGGAGTCGCACTATTAGGTCTTGAAATATCCGTCTTTTTCACCAAACGCTATGATGTAAATGAGTGCGTAAGAAAGTGTGTGCTAAAAGAAGTGGCCAGAGAAGCCTTCGACGCCTTCATAGAGCCCAGTGATCAAAGATTTTATGCGAATGGAATGTCTGCGCTTGCATCACTTTTTCAAAAACAAGTTTAAACTTTAGAAACGCTGCAACATTTTTAAAAACCGAATTTCACTTAGCCTTAGCATGGATAAACAAGAACCTTGATTTACTGAATAGTTCGTACGGGGATGTTACAAAATCTTATTGTAGTTAAGATTCAGGCATCATCGTCTCTTGCAGAACCGCACTAATTCAAGCAAAATGTGTACAATAGTTATTTCTTATGATGTTCGCTACTGTTTCGCCATAGGCCAACTGCTTAGGATGAGACCGCATTGTATGAAAGGACACGTCTGCAGGATATTATTTGCTCTGGTGCGATTACAAAGACGTGTATCATAGAAAATAACTTCTATTGTCAATCAACGTGGATCATTACGACTTTGAAAAAGGTGATAATGCCAAAACCTTAGTTAAAATAAGGAATCTGACATAGTGTCTGAGTTTTGGAAATGTCTCACATTGTTAGAGTTGCATTCTACCTAATTCCATGCCGTGAAAGAAATAACAGCGAGTAAATAAAAGGTTGAACACTGAAATAAAGTTATTTGACAGACTAACATTAAACTAATGTTGTAGCTGTAACCATTTAAGTTTCCACTCAAAATCAGGTGAAGTGGTTCTTACCGAATGAAAAAGGATAATGCTCTCGGCGTTAATCAATCTCTGTGGGATGCGCCACGCATTCTACTTCATTAAGTATCCATCGTATGGAGGTGATTGAATGCATATCTGGCCTTTAAAATGACTCGATGTGGCCTAGCGATGTATCGAGCCAGTGCTGCTATCGCTCCAGACAAGTCTGGTACCAATTTGACGACCTCGGAGGGATGGAAGGCTTGGTGAGCCACGGACGCGAGATCGACCCCATGTGTGTGTTGCAGGGCACCTGCGACCACTGCACCATACTCGCTCTTTTCTTGCTGAATAGCCTATGCTAATATAATAGTAGAATGGCTATGAAAGCATATCGCTGACTGGAAAATAAGTTTTTTAGCTGCAATATCTTAACCAAATTAGCAAATACCCTCCTTATATAACCTTTTCAAAGATGTCGTTCACAAAGAGGGTATCCATTTGTTCCATGGTGACGAATGACTCAGCTTTCGATCGCTCCCATGTCTTCACCGACTGCCATACAGCCTACATTAAGAACTCAGTTGTTTTATTCAAGGACAAGCACGTAATGCACCAGTGCATAGTAGCGCTAACGTTGAAAACATTCCTCACAGTAACTTTAACATAAATTAAGGAATGCAGTTTCATATACCGTAGTGAATCTGTCGATGCTAGTAAATATTAGTGGTGCGTCCATACGAAAAATGCAAACATTCCCAGCAACTAACTCAAGATTCCTCTTCTTTGTTTCCTTGAAAGTACCGGAATCACTATCGTGAGCAATAAAATGCCATTTTGGCCTAAAATAAGCTCTTTTACAATTTACCTATAGAACTTAATATTTAGGCATAGGGACGACGAATTTTAAGCCTTTCAGTTAAAATTCCCCTAACAAACCTCTGCATCCGAAGAATTGTTGTCAATGCAGCAAACCCAGTAGCAAACAGGAGACCTTCTCCCATGTCAAAGCATACGGTAAGCAACATACTCATGAGCCATATGGTCTGAAAACAATAACGTCACAGTATTTATCTAGAATTTTCAAGAACACACAGCATTTAGAGCAGTATTGTAATAAAGCTCTTTTTGTAAAAAATTTCCACGCTTAGTCGATACATTAGTAGACCATCGTAAGCCTTTATATAAGTTTTTTTCAGCTTGTCGAAAAATATCTATCCAACTGGGCGAGTGTAAAGCAGTGGTCGGAGGCCCTTTCAATAGACATGAGATCGATCCCCACGCACTAGGCTCACCAACCCCACCACCCCCCCCCCTTCCATCTATAGTTGGCAAATTGGTGCCAGAGATACCTGGGAGGATAGCAGCACTGAGTCGACACATCGGTAGCACAAGTCGAGTCATCGTGAAGGCCAGGTATGCATTCAATCATCTCCAGCGATTATAAATGAAATCGAATATATGGCGTACCTCTAAGAGAATGATCAACGCCTGCCGCTTTATCGTCTTATACAAGGGTTACATCAGTTTACTTGTGACTAAATGTGAACAAACGTTTCCGACAATGAGTTTTTCTGTCTGGTTGCCTTCCGTCTAACAGGCTTTGAAAAAATCCTATTGCTTATGGGAATAGGAAAGGCGGAGAAGAGTTTAAATAGTAGTGTTGTTCACCTATTTTGGTTTGAATCCAAGAAGACTCGGCGATGTATATTTCTTTCTTTACAATCGAGTTAAATGTTCTGCTTCGAAAATAAAAGCAAGAGAAATGTCAAGAGTTTTTAAGCAAAGAAGAATCAAGAGTAGACAATCTTCTCACTGAAACTCTCTGGCACGAAGTAGCCGACAATGAAGCAAAGAGTGAGTGGACACGAGCACTTGTGATTTCTACGAGTTGAAATCACCATGACAGAATCCGACGGATCGTTAAAACACATATTTTGTTGCCCTTGGTTTACGCGTAGCAATATAACTGTCATTTGCATTCCGTATTCTCACAAATGAGCGGCTCTAGGTCCTGAGATGAAGTAGTCTGGAAACCCGTAAATCCCAAAACTGGCGATGAGTTCCGCTGGAGCAAGAAACCCTCGAATATAACTATTGATAATTGAATTTTGACAAAATTGAACATATACCACGAAATTACACAAACATTAAAATAGTCAAAAAACAAAAGCATCCTGTGTAGTAAAGCACAGCCTAAAGATTAAAATAGAAAAGAGTATCAATGGGAAATAGTTGCTTACAAAATCGACTTTGAATACTGGCCACAACTCTCGAAGCTCGGCGAATTTTGTGAACATCGATTTTTGAGATACGATTATCATAGTTGACAGGATGCATTGAGGTAGATATTCGAGTGCCGGACCAATATATAGAATAACGAAAACCAAAGCCAATGACGAAAATAGACAGGTCAGCTGAAAAAGGATATATTGTGAAGTACAACGACAATGGTGGCGAGATATTTGAAAACTCCGGACTGCAAGTGAATGCAGTAGGGAGCGAATGCGCTATTACCCTTTCCGGGGGCTAACGCGTTCACCGCAATATCATGTGGGCTCATCGTTTCACTCGTCTCTCAGCTAGTTCTATCGATCGTGCCACTAGCAATATTGTGAAGTAGTTGAAGTTTATTTTATTATGCAATTAATAGTTGAGAATACTAGATTGCTTCAAAAACATCGGTAGACCTTGTTGAGCAATTATGAATTAACTACGGCTCGACTCAAAGTGACTTCACCAGCAAGAATGCTAACCGCCGGAGTCCCAAACATTATTTCAAGAAAGTTAATTAGGAATTAGACATTTCTATCCGGAACGATGTCAGTATTACTTATGCTTCTACAGTATCCGGAGAGCTAAATGTAACAATTTTATCGAGAAAATAATGAAAAGGAATCGATTCATAACGACATTGTAAATTTCTTTGTATCCCTGTGGTAACTCAGTCCAATGAACAACGGTTCGCAACGGACATCAATGTGTACTTTCCTAGATTTCGCTCGACAATTTCACCATTACGGGGATCAAAAATCACACAAGTGATGAAATTGACGGTTACTACTCTTGCTGTTATTACTGTTTGTCTATGGAAAGGATGGCGCAATAGTAATGGTTTCATCCACCTCTGTATTGGTGCTGGTTTTACAGCAGATTTGATGAGAGGTCACGTAAAATAAATAAAAAAATGTATGGAAATCAAATTCAAACTTTAGCTCAAATGTGAATGAATGCAAATCAAATTCTGGAGAAAAAACAATTGGGACTAATACAAATTCCAAGTACCTGAGTGCTGCCTCCAACTGCAGCTCCTACAACACTTCGAGCGAATCCTGATGTAACAGGAAATACAGGAAAAAATGACGACAAAATACCGACAAATCCAAGAGCGTATAATTCCTAAAGGTCTGGCATAGTACATTTTCTAATAAATTTTATTCACCAAATGGAGAAGATAACGAAGAGACGGGATAGAGGTGTATTAGACGCTGTTACGACAGAAGTCTTCACCTGACCGTGATTGATTTTGTACTTATATCGCTTCTCCACGATTTTAGCAACAGTCAAGTGAATTGCAACAGCAGTTAAAGCAATAGCCGCTGCGTTTAAACCAATAAATTGAATGAGGTCAAGACGTGGTAAAGAAGTAGGCGGAAATCTGGAAAAAAAGAACATAAAAATGAAGAAAAAACGAAAACTTCTTTCCTTCTGCTATTTAAGGAAAAAAAGTAAAAATATATAAAGGACACAAACTCTGTTGGAATATTTCCTAAAACTTTGATATGATGTCTTCGTGAAAGTTCGGCATAATTGGTTGCAGTGATGCCAACAACAACCTATGAACAGGATAAAGAAATCAATACAGAAGACATATCTTTACTATGTAAATTAATTTTGAACAGCCATTTACACTGTTCACTTTAAAGGAAGAATAATCCTTCTATACAACCACAACGTTGCTGAGATATTTGCAAAACTCTGGACCACAGGTTTCTATGGTGGGGAACGAACGCGCTATCGTCCTTTTCGGGGAGCAACGCGTTCACCACCACACCATGCGGTTTCTTCGTTTCACGTGTCCCTCAGCTAGTTCTAACGATCTTTTGCTATCAACAATCACCTGTCAACGAGATTGATCTGGGAAGCCCACATCGCCATTGAACCCAGTTAAGCTGAGGCTGTAGTTGAAATCATAATGTTTTACCATTTTTATTTTCTGCCTAATTCAATTTTCACGTCAGGGTACTAAGCGAAATACAACCACAACGTTGCTGAGTTATTTGCAAAATTCTGGACCGCAGGTGTCTATAAATCCTTCTATACTTTTTTTCGTAAACGTCTCCAATAATAAAGATTTTGAGAAGCAGTATCACCTACCAAAACCAGATCAAAGGGAACTGGGAAATGAAAAGCAGTACTAAGCCATGGAGACATGAGCTCTTTGCCAAATATTAGAAATATAAACGATGATAGTGATATAGCGAATGTTGGCCAGTGAACATTACATATGTTCTCGATGAGATCACATAGTCGCTGAAAATTCTTAAGATCATCTGGTTATTTTCGAATTGCAGCTATTCTATGGCCTAAATATTGAAATATTAAAGTCGGTTTTGTTCATATTATGCTCTAAATGGGGCACATGTAGCACAGTGGTTAGAGGCGGCTTGCAATATATATGGGATCGAGCCTTCGCCTCAGGCTCACTAAGCTTTCCTGTCCACCGCGGTCGGGAAAATGGAACCAGATGAGTCTGCGAGGATAGCAGCACTGAGTTGAGTAAGGAACCGCGAGTCATTGCAGAGGCTAGGCTGCATTCAACCACCTCGAACGATTCTTTATGGGGTCTAGGGCGCGTCCTTCAGGGATTGATTAACGCCGAAAGCTTTACCTTTTTTATGTTTCAGAAACCCATAATGAACACGCTCCATATTTCTCCTTTATAGAATTCATCGGATATAATTACCAAGCTTCTATTCTTAGTCTGCTCATTATGATGAATATCCTTCACTTACGTAATACAAATAACCTGGCCCACTTCTCCTAGGTAATTTCACACCAAGTACATCTCCAATTTGTGCAAAGAAGACATGAACACCTCCACCTACGACAAATCCAGACATTACTTGCTCGGAAAACACCGTCGTAAGGTACTGAAGTCGGAATATTCCCATTATGACCTAAACGGTTTGATGTTCTAAGGCATTTGTATGGAAATATCAAGTCTTATGATTAATAATAACATCGTAACAAATATGGTGCTGGCAAAAATTGAAAAACATCTTTTTCTGGAAGGAATTTCTTGCATTTTTTTCAAGAAAAACAAGAGATCCTAAAACGGCAAGGATGATTATGTCTAACGAAGCCTACATTACCTGAATACAACCGGCAAAAAATACAATTGTTGTAGCAACATGTATCTCCTTCACGGGATTCACACCATCTGTCCACATTTCTGTGGTCACCTTTCCTAACAACGATGTCACATTACCCAATCTGCAAACAGAAGAAGGGAAGTGAAAGAAAAAGGAAAAAACAGTTTCCTGACGAGGCGTTGAAGTTTACATCAAATAGTGCCAACTTGACACTAGCGATAGGTAACGTGATATGAAATGTCTTTAACTGCTGCTCACATAAGGGTCCCATTTGCTTCATCAAGGATTGTCTCAAAGCACTCAGCGGTATGGTTCACATAGTACGTTGCATTGTAGTTCATCGCTGTCCTCATCATAACCTTTTCGATTGCCGTGTGCGTCATTAGAGAAAGTACAGCGAATCCACATGAAATAAGAGAAAACAATATCGTTACATTATCTCTACAAAAGAGAAAGGATGCAACATTCTTCGTGTATATCATCAACTGAAGAATTATTGAGCTATCGCTCTTCGAAACAAAGATATGCATATTCTACACTTCAGTAGTTATAGTGGGAGATGACTCTTAGAACATTACACTTTTTTTTCTGAAAACCGTGCAAAGAAGTTCTACTAATGGTACTTCTGAACTCCACCTAGAGCATTATGCTTTGAAGTGCCGAAGAAAATGTAGAGAAATGAAGGAAAAATTGCTGTGTAGAGACCGTAGACTGGTGGAACCCCTGTGATTCCGGCTAATGCAATTCCTGAAAAAAAAACGATCACAAGCGTAATCGGAAACAACAAACAACCAACTAGTTTTAAACAATGGGTGTAATACAACTGTCCTACCTTGTGGCACTGAAAAAACGGCCATCGTTAATCCTCCAGAGAGATCGCCAAAAAATGAATGCGACCAGTCATAATGAGGTAACCAAGAGAGAATAGGAAGGAACGAAGTGATTCTAAAGATCCTGCGACGACGAAGCAATCTGCGATAAAACCGTGAGAGTCTATCACGACATGCCACACCGAGTGGTACAGCTCTTGACAACAACTGGAAGTAGACAACATTCAGTAACTCACCAACAATTCAATAAAGTCGACCAATTTTGGTCAAAAACAATTTTGTGAAGAAACTTCATTGGGACAAGATCTAATTAATGATAATATTTTGAATGAAAACTAAAAAAAATCACTGGCGAGTAGTTGAGTATAACTGCGGTTATAATTCTTGTTTAGCCAATTAAACCATCTTTGATTTAGAACAAAATAATTTGGAACGACTCATAACGAAATTTAAAGAAAGTGGAAATTTGGACGATTTACCACATAGTAAACATAAGAATGACTAACTCAAATTTCCAAAAGAATGCCACTTGAATCCAACGCTAGAGTGGAAATCATCTTGCGAAGTTTCTCAGCGACCAATAATCAAAGTGATCTGACCATGCGGTGGTGAGCGCGTTACCCCCCGGAAAGGGCAATAGCACGTTCGTTCCCCACTGCAGACACCTGCGGTCCGGAGTTTTGTAAACATCTCAGCATCATTGTGGTTGTGTCATACACAATACCCTGCGGTGAAAAATTGTAATAGGCAGAAAATAAAAAGTTAGCATTGTGATTCATTGTGATTTCGACTACAGCTTCAGCTTAACTATGTTTAGTGTTGATTTGGGCTCCCCAGATCAATCCCCTTGACGGGTGATTGCCGATGGCACTGATCGATAGAACTAGCCGAGAAACAGGCGAAACGAAGGACCCACATGGTGTGGTGGCCTACTAGCCCCGGAAAGGGTAATAGCGCGTTCGCCCCCACAGCAGACACCTGCGGTCCGGAGTTTTGGAAATAACATTGTGATCGTTGTGATATGACTATGTTTACAATGACAACAAAATACCTTTGCCATCGAACGACAGAAGCCGGATGGTCGAGATAGAAGATGGAGAAAAAGATGAATAAGAAAAGAAAGGGGGAGAAGAAAACGAATAAGACGATGATGATAACGACGTAGAAGAAAAAGAGGCAGGTCGAATCAGACTGTGCACCGTGTCGCAACGAATCCAATGCTCAGTCTTTTCGGCGGTGCTCCCAGTTAATGCTAATTCGAACTGCAAACAAACACACACACTCACACGCACACATACGCATACTGAGACCCTATCACTGAGTGGTACGACGTTCATTAAAACATCCAGCACTATGGACTATAAGCCGCCATTCTTGAAAACGAGAAAAAAAGAAAAAAAAACAGCTCAGAACAATCACCACTACGAGGTTCCGTAATCGCCCATTCACAACTTGGCGATCACTTTTCGCTTAACAAAATTTGATTCGGAAGTTGGACAAAGTGTTTTGTGCAATATTTTTCTGCCTAATATTTTGCTGCTGTGCATAACTCTTTCTAATGAGATGATTTGAATCTTCTAGTCTCATGAAGAAAGGTTTCTATGCTGCTTTTCTCGAAATAACTACACCTCACACATCGTGGAGTTCAAAAGACCAACTTTCTACGAACATCGGTAAAAATAATCGATGTATTTATTTACATGTTCTTATGAACTTACCTTGTTGAGCTGATGCGAGGTTGGAATAGTTGCTGTTGTTGTTGTTGTTGTTGTTGTTGTTGTTGTTGTTGTTGTTGTTGTTTTTGTTGTTGTTGCTGCTGTTGTTGTTAACGTTATAGGACTAAAGGTAGCGTTGATCAGAAAGTAAGAGATTAATACGGAGCAGTTTAAGTTCTGGACCCTGTCAAAAATGAACCCAGATCGTCATTCTACACAATTATGCAAAATTTTACATCGCTGTTTTGGTGAAGAGCTCTTTTTGATATCTGTTATCGCCCTAACCTTTTTCGCAGCACCTTTTCTTTTAAATCTGAAACCTTCAGTCTTAGGAAATCACGGCTTTCCATACATCGTTTGGTGAAGTGGTCTTTACCGAGACTACTGCTCATTGTGCAAAAAAATGAAGAATAAATCTACCAGCTTCGATCAACCCCTGAGGGATGCGCTGTACATTCGACTTTATTAAGCATCACTGGAGTAGCATGAATACATATCCGGCCTCTCCAATGACTTGCAATGGCTACCGATGTATCGAGCCAGTGCTGCTAACCTCCCAGACAAGCCTGGTACCAAGTTGCGAACTCATGAGGGATGAAAGCCTTGACGAACGAAGGGCGCAGGGATCGATTCCACGTGTATTGACTCCGACCACTGCGCTACAAGCGCCCGTTTATTCTATCACCTGTATCACCTGTAGTCCCGTTGATCGTCGGATCGTCGGGTGAGTCGAGCGGGCACCAGTAAATCTTTCATTTTTCAATGTCGCGTGCAAGAGTAGCCCAGTGCGATCTGCTCGCTCTAGGGACTCGTCGAGCTTCATATCTTTCTTCAAGGCTCTGTAGAAAACTCTGACCATCGGGCGGTGGTCTTCCTGCGGTAGGTTTGACATCTCGAGAAATCCAGTCGCTAACGGCTTTTGTTCATCGGTTGTCATTCATACGAATTCCGGCCCACCTTATCTTGGAGTGTCTGGCCCACTGAACGGCATCTTTGAACTTTGATCCTTGACGCACATCGGAGCATGGGATTCCATCCCCTTACTTGGGCGAAACAGGATACTCCTAGCAACGTCCTTACGACTGCGCGTTCGATGACGCTGAGTGCTTTCATCCTGCTTGAGCAGCGACCAGGTTTCTGACGCATACGTTAGGGCAGGAAGTACAGTTGAGTCGAAAAGGTGGGCAAGGAGTCGAGTGTCCTCTGTTTTCTTCACTACATCTTCGTTGCTCTTGAAAGCTCCCCAAGGCGCTCGTTTCCTTCTGCTCAGCTCTGGAGCTAGGTTGTTCATCATATTGACTTCCTGACCTAGAAAGATATAACTGGAGCATTTAGAGATAATCGTTCCATTGAGCTTAAATGGGGCATGCGAAGCCAATCCGTTCTTCATAAACATCGTTTTTGCGAGATTTAGTCGAAAACCAATCTTTCCACAGGCTCTATCAAAGTTGTCAAGCAAACGTTCTGCCTGGCCAATGTTTGGTGTTATAAGGACGATGTCATCAGCAAAGCGAAGATGGTATAACTGCCGAACATCGATTTTCACTGCCATATTATCCCATTTCAATGTTCGCATGTCGTTATGGAGGGTGGCAATGAATAATTTTGGCGAGATGGTATGGCTTTGCCTAACTCTTTCTTTGACGTCAATGTTAGTAACGTTGTAGAATAGTGATACCTTGGTTGTAAAATTTTTGTACAGCTGACGAAGAATCTTTATGTACTGAGTAGAGTCTTCTTGACTATCAAGGGCTTCCAAGACTGATTCCATCTCAACTAAAACAAAGGCCTTTTGCAAGTCGATAAAAGTGAGACAGATCGGTCTTTTGTACTCTCGCGATATTTTAACGAGCCTCGTTACCGTTTGGATGTGGTCCATCGTAGTAAATCCTTTTCGAAACCCTGCTTGCTCACATGGCTGTCCTTCGCATAGTGTTCTCTCAATCCTGTTTAGGATAACTCGAGTGAAAAGTTTGTAGACGACAGACAGTAAGTAGACTGGACGATAGTTGCCGTTATGGTGCAGGTCACCCTTCTTTAAGAATAGCACGATCTTGCTGGTCTTCCACTGAGTAGAGACTATGTATTCAGACAGGTACCGTGTGAAGAGCCGAATCAGTGTGCTTACGAGGACTGGCGGAAGGTTCTTTAGGTGTTCTGGTCTTATCCTGTCCGGACCTGCTGCTGTTCGACTCTTCACCGACGAGATGGCATGTGGGATTCCGGAAGGGAAAACCGGTAGTACAACATATCCATCCTCTTTTATTTCATATGACGGAAGGTGGACGTGACTATCGAAGAGATGCCAGTAGTATTCGTGAATGATTTTCTCCATTGCCTTTCTAGACGCTGTAATTGTTTAGCTTCGGTGGGCTTTGCGAACGCTTTTCCCAACCTCTGCAGCTTCGACCGTTACTGGTGCTCTTCTCTCTCTAAGATCCTCTTTTATAGCCTGTCTGCATTGTTTTGCAACTTCGGAGGTTTGTTCGCGGTTGCCTGCAGCTCGTGCGATTCTACGCTAGCGTATCAGCTCGAGTGTTTCTGGAGACAGACGTCACATGATGACTTTCGAACTCTGAGCTTTTATAGCGCTAACGTGGAGATGTTGAATGAGCCGATCGTGTTCTTCGTCGATGTTATCGACAACGGCATCTTCCCAACAGCCGACTAATGAATTGAATAAATCCCAGTTCGCGGTGGTTCTGGACTTCGATTTTGGAATGTGGCGACTTTTTCTCCTTTCGGCGAGAAATAGAATTTTGCACGAAGGAGACGATCTTCTGATCCTGCGTAGAATTTCGAGACAACGGCGACATCGGTTAGGCAAAACTTTCGGCTTACTATGAAGTGGTCTATTTCGTTATGGTACTCTCCATTGGGAGACTCCCACGTCCAGCCCTGAGGTTGGGGCTTCTGGAATTGCTAGTTACCATGTATTGTTGTGGTCGCCATGATAAACTCAGATAGCCGCTCTCCCTGTTCGTTCCATTCTAATCCGTGTGTCCCAATGTGACGTTCTTCAGACGTTCTTCTTGGTCCAATCTTGGTGTTAACATCTCCAATGATGACCTTGAAGAACGTGTGGTCTTCACTGTAGAACTTCTCCAAGTCCATATAGATTAGAGCTTAATGAATCGAAACACGCAAGCCATACCTCAAAATCCACCGAACTAGCAGTGTGACTAGCTGACAGCCGGCTGTAAATAGCGGAAACCGCGTTCGGAGGCGCCTTATAGCGTCCGGACTGACAACTCGTCCACAGCGAGTGGGCGGTCGTTTTCTCGCTTAAAACGCGTTTTCGCGCGATTTCCTCGAGCGATTCCTCCTTCCCGGCCCTAGCCCCTTCGACTTCTTCTTCGTCATAAATTGATGTCGGCGCGTAAACGGCGAAGATTGTCGAAGCCGGAATTGATCCACGCCTTCTTAATCGTAAACGTCCGATTCGGGTTGTAAGTTGTTCGAATGAATCGATGTTCATGGACAAACTCGTGT